GACATTAATTACAGTTGTTTCTTAAAAAAAAAAAAAAATTGCATATAACTGTATGATTTACTTTATATAATGTTGTTTAATGCTCTTCGATAAATTCAGTTTTTTCCCCATCTGTTTTTTAAATGTTATTGTAGGGAGTTTGATCTAACAAAAAAAGTGCCTTAAAAAAGAAGAAAAAGTGAGAACAATGTTTGTGTAATGTTTTATTAAATCCATTTGAGAAAATTGATGGAACAGACAAGAGGCAGAATTTTGGTGCGTTCTCTTTTTGGAGGGTTTTTTCCCCCTCCTTTTTTTTTTCCCCCTTAAATCTCACTTATGTCTGTGTGGCAGCTGTTGCTTCTTTTAAGGAGGCAAGTTTTTGAACTCAGGTTTCTGTTGCTTATCAGCACTGTATATTAAAGACATTTCCTTCACACCTCTGAAACCATTTACATATTGAAAAATGTAGATGTTTTGCCAAAATGTTTTTTTAAAAAATACATCTTAAAATAATAAGATTAATTTTAAATTACTAATTAATTTTTGAATTATTGCTAAATTTCCACATGCTTAAGGATTACAAATGGTGAGACTAACAACAGCAACTGCGGAATCTGAGGTGAAATATGTGTTTGAAGGGAGAGTTTGAGTTGTGAGGTAAATTAAAAAAAATTGCAAACTTTTGGGTGATACATTTGTCTAACACAGATTTTTTTTTTTTTTACTACTCATACAATTTCTTAGAAAACTCTCCTTTCTGAAGCTTCTCAACAGTAGGAAAACTACCAGCATTGCATCACTGGAATAAATGTAGTTTGTGAAATGTCCTGAAGGCAGGTTTCTTGTTACTGGCTGTCAAAGGCAAAAAAAGAAAAATCATTAAGGCTGCAGTACAGAGGCAAATAAAGAGGCAGCCACAAGGGTCATGTTCTAAACAAACCTTCATTAAGCACTCTTTGTTGCTGTTGTTAGCCAGTGTATTATTAAATACAACATTAATTAAAGAGTTGCATGTTACGAGGGTGCTTTTTGCATGAAGACCAGATTGAATTTTCATGTGCTTCATGAACATACTGGTGTCTTACTTAATCTTTTGAGTGTATTCTCTCAGTAGTTATTAAAAAAGCAGACCCCAACAACATAAAATTTGTGTTTTGTGTGTATGTATTTATTGTCTGTATGTATCAGCAAGATGCATATTCTAGTGCCACTTTCCTCAAGTAGCTTAAAAAACTTTGCCTAGAATTAAAATTATGTAGGATATACTTGGTTTTCTTTGCTGCAGTAGTTGCAATTAGAGACCTCTTCTTACTGTCTAATAAACAGATCCTAAAAGAATGTGGTTTTCAACTTAGAAGGGTGTAAATTTAGGCAAAACAATAATTTAATTTATATTAACTCAGCAGGAAGCAGGGTACAAACTGATTATTGCTCTATGGCAGATCCACTGCTTTTTAAAATACTGCAGCTCCATTTTATTAAATTGTCAGGATATCTTGTGTTTTGGTTAGCCTGCCTCTCATAGGATTACTTTTCACTTGATTTAAGAAATTAATGAGAATTTCCTCCAGGTTACTTTTGTTAAGGTGTTTAATAAGCATACATTGTAAATATCTTTAAAGTGATTTAATATTGATAATACTGGGAAATACCCTTTTTTAAAATGCAGGGCTGCTAAGTTAGAAGACATGTGGAAGTGTTTTTTCTTTTCAAATACTCTGCTTTGCTCTAGCATTTTTTGTGTGGTGTATTTCAAGGGGTATCAGTAAGTGTGTGTATTAAGAAGTATGGACTAAAATGTTTTTCTAACTTTAGGCAGGTTATGTAAAAGGAATGCAGTTATAAGAGAGCACCTAGAGTGCATCTTGAGAGCCCTTAACCCACTTGAGCAGATAAGTGAACTGTTCACTGATAGCACTGTTTAGTCTTCAAAGGTGTTCACCCATTTGTTAATTAAATTACAAAATAAATATAGGGCAGATGATAAATATTCACATATAGGCCTTGGAGAGGAATTAGACTATTAGTATTTTCAAGACAAAACCAAGGTTTGTGTGTTCGTATAGAAAAAAGCAGTAATTTTGAAAAAGTAGTCTGATCATGACTCATGTTGGGAAACCACTTGACTTGGGAGAAACATTCTTCAAAGAAATATGTCTGTGAAACAGATATATGGATCCTTATGAAGCCATAGTGTTTTTCAATTGTTTTAAAATTGCTTTTTCTGTGTCAGGCTCTAGTTTGTAGAGCGAAGACAGAGGTACAGCTATGCTCACAGGTAAACTGATACATGCCTGTCCTATGATTAGCTTCTATCCAGAGTTGCTAACTCTCTTCAGAGGAGCTTGAAAGTGCTGTTCTGTTCTTCTAAAGTTTCTTCTCCAGGCATAGCATCAGCTGCATCACTCAGCAGGTGATTAAAAATCTGCCCAGTTTTCTGATGAAGAGCATCGCTGTTTGGCTCCTCCTGGGTACTCAACCTTGAGTGTTGTCCTAAGTGGTGAAGAGGGACTAAGCATCAGAGGAGTGTGTGCTGGGTCTGTGAGGCCACCTGGAAGAATGGTCTCCTTTTCCAACAGGTTTCATTCTGGAGAGTGTATGTAAGCAAACAAAGGCTGCCATTCTTTCCTGAGTGACTATTAAGTGTACTTAGCCTATCAGCCCTGATCCCTAGAGCAGAATCTGCTTATCTGCCTCTCCAGTTTATTCCTTGCAGAAAGGAGCACTCTCTGAAACCTGAGCCCTTGGATGGCTGACCTGCTTTAGGCATGTTGATATTGTCTCCATGCTGCCCTTGAATTCTTCGGCAGGTGTAGGTGCCTGCCTTCTAGTTAAGGCTAAGATCTGGATAGATTGCGAACCCCGTAACAGGCACTTTCTCTCACTTACTCTTACAATGAAATGAGAAATAATTTATCAGAAAAATACAGAAGATTCTCTTTTTCATCCCTTTTAAGAAGGCAACTAGGGTGTTAATATTTTTAAAACTTATATTGGATGATCTGATACATAAGGTTTTGTTTTGGCTTCAACTATTGAGTCCATACAAATTTCATAAAATTTGTTGCAGGGCATATTTTAAATATTTTTTAAATATAACTCATTCCTTTACTTAGGCCTATGGTTATTTCACGTTCAAGTATTCAACAAACTTAATTTGTTGCTTTTCATGTAATGCTGATACAGTTTTTCACTGTTGTTTGTATTAAAGTATTTGTTTTCCCACACTGCATTTTTGTTTCTTCTTCAGCTTACAAAGTATCTTGTACCTGTTCATTTTGATTTGTTTTTTATTGCATGCTTTCATGTTAATTGGGATTTCCTGCTGTGAAATGAGCTCAGACTGGAAGTATCACTAGGGATGTTCCCAGCCAAACCAGAACCAGAGGCCCGAGATAAAGCTCTGCATCAATGCAAATGTAACTAGTGCCATATCTGCTCTATTCATTTAGTGGTCAAATTAAGTCACACTTGGACTTTCTCTACTCTTTCTACCTATCTGAAAATGTCTGTATAGCAAAGTCAAGGCAAGTACCCTGCTATCTAGAAGCAGGACTCAATAGGAAGAGTTTTGCTACAAAAGCCAGCCTGAGTAGCCCAGTGTTAATTGTTCTTTTCTCCCTCCTGTGTTCCATACTTTCCTTCTCTGCTTAAATACATGAAAATTGGACATGTTAGTGGCTGCAGTTGGATTTGTTAAGCCATGGGTATTGTCAAAATCCTTACAAGCTGTGCTCAAGTTCATCAAGGCCATGGCAGCAATTCCCATGTTGAACTTCAGTGACAATTAGTTGATTGCTGTGATGGAAAGGTGAAGGTGCAATGAATGAATTTTTAGATCACCCTTTAATGAAGTATCTCCTATGTTAGATGGATATAAACTTCTTCCTGACTTTTGAATGGCCTAAAATCTGTGTAGCTGTGGCTAACAAGGTTCTGAGATGGTAAAAGGCACTGCAGGCTGGGGCTTAGCCCAGGAGCAGTGCAGCCCTCAGGATGGTTTGTTCTGAGCATCTCACAAATGGTGAGAAGTCCTAGGTTCCTTGTTGGAAATTCTGCATTGTTTATACACTTTTTTTTTTCTGAAAATATTCACATGTATAATGATGAAAGTGACTTTAAATAAAGCTTTAGTAATAGTCATTATTTCCTTTGCAGAGCTTATAGAAATCAAAGATGAGGGAAGCTGGGCAAATCTAAACTAACCTGTACTGAACTGAGTAATTGCACTCTAAAAATGAAGTTGTTACTGAATTCTGGTGTGACATTGTAAAGTATAATAGTATTAAGGAATTTTTTTACCCTTAATAGCAAATAAGTGGCATTAATTAAGGAGCTGTGTGTTCTGTATGTTTCTGATCTGAAATTGCTCATAGATTCAGAATTGAGAATCTTTTGCTTGGGCTGGGGTAGGGAAAAGGTGGCATGGTAGCTTTATTGTTGGACTTACCTCTTAGAAGGTAATTGCCTTCTACTTTTTTTGGTTTATTCCTTTTGCTTTCAGTTATATTTTTAAAGTATATTTTGTGTAGGTTTTTCCATTACCCTCAATTTCCTTGTATTTGCTTAGTGTATGTTTTGAGAAAATTAATGACTTTTGGTTTGGCTCAGCAGGGTAAGTGTTCTACCTTGTAGCAGTTCAGATTTCATTTGGTCATTAAAAGTCAAGCTGTAGAGTTTGGTTTTCTTCCCTGAAAAAAAAAAAAAAATTATTTATGGTGTAAGCAGGCAGGCTATTTGAACAGTATAGTGTGAAAAAATTCAGAATTATACAACATTAGTATACCATGCTTATAACTTCTTATTCCAGAGGCATTGTTGTAGAGTCCAGGCTTACCATTGCAATTCAATTTTCCCTTCTTTTGGACAGAGTTAAGGTTTTCTCTATTAATTGAAAACTTCTGAAAAGATTTTGGTATAATTAATGTTTGATGCTGATAATATGATATATTTTTTAATATTCAAGTTTGGGGTTTTTTTCTGCAGTGTTAATGAACTTTTTTTTTCTTCTCCTTTAGGAGAATATATAAAAAACTGGCGGCCAAGATACTTCCTGCTAAAGACAGATGGCTCTTTCATAGGCTATAAGGAGAAGCCCCAGGATGTGGATCTGCCATATCCACTCAACAACTTTTCAGTGGCAAGTATGTATTTCCAGTATTTATTATTCTCTCAGCATATTGACAGATTATCTGCTACATATTGCTTCGTGTATAATTCAGAATTTATTGGTAACACTGCAAGTTTAGTGCCATGTGCCATACTAATGCACCACTAATCTTACTTCCAGCTCTACAAGATGTATTTACAGTAGCATGGAAGAACCATTTGGAATGTTTTTAGATGTCTAAGTTCTCATTTTTTTGTGTGTGTGTCTAAAGTGTCTCTAAATAACAATGACATTTGACAAATTATGGCTGTAAGAAGAACATTCCTGGAAAGTTTACCTTTATTGAGATTGCTGACCTCTTCTCTGTTTTTCATTAGTATCTCTGAATTCACTTGAAAACTCAAATTAATTAGAAAATTATCTAGACTTTCAAATGACACAAAATCATGCTAAGTTATTTTTCTCTTGGATAATCAGGTAATCAGCTCTCCAGCCTGGTTAATGAGTAATTTCAAGCAATCAGACAATTTGCATATATTAACAAAGCCACAAAGTGTGTATCTGTTGGATAAAGGGAAGATTGTGTGTTTTCCAAGAATGTTTCTAAAAGACAAATTTGTAGGGTTTTTGATCAGAGTGAGATTGGTGTTTCTGTACATAAATGAAAACATTTGAGGAGAAAAATTAAAGGGGAAAAAATCTCTCTGAGTTGCAAATATCACAGCTAGAAACTTTCAGAGGAACAGTAGAAAATTTACCCAATTTCTTTCAAAATTGTCCTAAGTGTACTGCAATACAAAAAGTGGAAGGGTTTAATTTTATGGAGGAGTATAGGAGCCACCACCAAGAGCATTTGTACTAAGGGAAAGGGTTCTCTTCCTCTTCACTGCTGAAGTTGGAACAAGTGCTACTGAGACTGAATTTTCCTATTTTCTTGATAAAATTGTACTTGAGACTGACTCAGCCTTTGTGTATACAAAGTAATTTGTGTATTTTATTTGGTAAGAAAATAATCTTGTGCTCCAAGCCCATGTCTCATTTCACAGCTAGAAGAGGAAAACTTTGCATATTCTGATTGCAATAGATAATGATATTGATTGTGCAAACCATCTAATAGCATTAGAGGCTTGTTTTTCCTTGTTGGTATTCAGCATAAAAGCAGTGATGTCTTTAAGTTGTTCATGTGAGTAGGAATTGACTAAATCATGGCCATTATTAATTCCTTAGTTATTGCTCTGCATATTCTAACTACTCCTTTTTAGCAGGTAATATTTTTCTAGATACTCGGTCCCTGGTTTGCAGCAGAAAGACAATTTTTAGAAATACAGTGGGCTTTTTTGTCCTGCTTTACCATGTTCTTCATTGCATAGTCTGTCTTCCCTTGCTGCAGCAACTAGAAGGGTGATCCAAATGGTAGTTCTGCTAAGCAAAGAAATACATAATTAGCAGTTATTATAGCATAATTACCAGTGTGTTGGTACTGGTTTTGGTTGGGTTTTTTTCGTTCCCAGAGGTTCTGTTATGTAATTCTGATATTAGAGTGCTGTCCCTGAACTTTGCCTTGATGGAAACGGAAAGATTTCACATTGTTTTCCAAAATGACACCATCACCACCCCCACCACCCCCACCACCCCCCCACCAAAAAAAAAAAAAATCCTTTCTGCAACTGGCAAGTCTCATAGGTCTGATTTTTAGGCTGTGTAAGCTAAAGCATGCAATATTAATTGAATCCAGTTTTGATAAGCATGACTTTTTCTGTTTTTCTGACAGGAAAAGGCGTAATTTTATCAGAAATGTTGGCTGATCAGTGCAAGAATAGGGAGATGTAACACTCATCAAAAGAATCCCATGAAATTAAGAGGAGTGCCTGTGTAGAATTCACAGGATGAAAAGCAAACCAGGATGGTATTACACTCTAAATTGCAAGGGACTTTAAGTTTTTTATCATCTTTTTTATCTGTCTGAAGATGAGCTCATCAGTAGGGCAAATAAACAAACAAAATTGCTGTATGAATGGATCACATCTCATGGGAAGTACCTGGTAAATGTCAAGAACTGGTCTCATGGCCTCTGATCCAAGAGTTCCTGAGCTGCTGCAGTAGGTTTGTGGCCACAAGCAGCGCAACATATTTTTCCTGTAATAGTGAAGTACGTTTTTCATAAATTACTAGCCAGGCAGATGGAGTGTGAGATCACTGTTAATACCATCTTGATTAGGTTGGCAGGGACTTAAAGATATGTCTTTACAGTCCTATCTTCATGTAATCTTTGTAGCTATCTGTAAAGTAAGAGTGTAGTCTCAGTCTACTTTTTGCTCTCCAAATGATAGACATCTTTGGCTCCTGCTTGCAATTTGTTATTTAAGCAGAAAAGGCCAAGGCTGTGGTATTATTTTTGTAGTACTGTTGGAGTTAAACATGGGAATGTTTGCACAGTTCTACTTTGTATGATTCTTGTTGGGTAGTTTAAAACTTTCTTAAGCAGCTCTGTAAAGCTAGTTACTTCCATTGTGCTGATACTTTCCCACCAGTGTCCCCTGCCTTCCACTCCTGTGACATTTTTTACATTGCAAAAGTAAAGCTCTTTCCCAGGCATAGTATCATTTCCCCTAGTGTGGTTCCCTGATTCCTTCCAAGATAACTTTAAAGTTCCACACCTAAGCATTTCTCTTGCTTTGGTCTTTTGTCATCTGTGAACTCCATTGGGAATGAGGAGAAGGCTGGAGAGAATGAAGTTATTTTACAGACTGCTAAAAGTGCTTCCAGTGATAAATATGTCTTTGCTAATAGAGCTTTCTCATTGAGGAATGTTTTGTCATAGAATGGAGCGTTCAGAGACCTTTTGCTTGGGGTATTCTGGGAGGAAATGTGGGGGAAGGCATTTGGAAGTGTGTGTCAGCAGATGGACTCTTTTCTTGGAGAGGGAGAGACTGAGGCAGTACACATGTGCCTCAGTCCATTACCAGCCACCCAAAAAGCAGGGAAACCATGGGGGCCTGAAATGGAGATGAAGGATCTCTCTTCCTTGGAGCACTGAAGATGAAACACAGTTGAGTGAAGGGTAAGACAGAGTGGGGCTGGGTGGAGCTGTGCCCCTGGGAAGGACACAGGCTGGCCTTAGGTGTCCTGAATGGACTTCACCCCTCTGTGGCCACTACATTCCCAACTTTGGGTGCACAGGGAAGGCAGCCATGGGCACCCTGCCCTGCATCTTGGAGCTGCTGCAAGGTTGCAGGAAGAACAAATCAGCCAGATTTGGTGATACTGAATAGTGTGTAGGAATCACTGGCTCCTCTCCTGTGGAGCCAGCTTATTTTATACCTAACAAACCCACCTTCTTTTAAATGGGAGTTGTGAGAGCTGTGTATTTGAAGTAGGCTGTTAGTCCCTTCATGCTCATGCCTTGACACTGAGACTCACACAAAGCTCTGCCGTGGTATCTCACCGTGCACTTGAAGATAAATGAAGGCGGTGTAATTACATGGGTGGGAAGTTCATTGGGAAAACTTAAATCCGGGTGATACTGGTTTGCAGGGGTAAATTCAGAGGTGTGAGCTTTCTGGAATTGTCTGGTTCAAAATCAGTTCAGCTCTTTTCAGGTAGAGAGGAGCAGTTGCAAGTAATCAAACTGCTGTAGCTTGTACAGATTCTCTTGATTGACTGAGTCATGGTAACTGAGTGGGTGTGCATTCCTAGCCCACTTCAACTGCAAAATAAAATATGTTAATTTAAATTGCTTTTGCTTAGGCATTTATGCAGTCAGAACCAGTTTAAAAATAATTTTGGATTCAGTTGGTATGACTTCTCTGTACAGGCAAAGGCCTGATAAAAAAGTCCTGTCTTTTAAAGCGCCATTATGATTCTTTGAGAACAAAACTAATACTCTGTATTATACAGGATGTATTTCCTCAATGCCCTCCCACCCCCTCAAAAAAATCCAACATGGCCTCATAATGCTGTTTTCAACTCGCTCACTGCTGTATAAGTGGAATAAACGCTGCTTTATGTAAACCACTTTGGTCTTTGATTGTCAGCATTATTTGGGAAAGCAGAGTGGGGAAGAATTCTACTTCAGTTCTACTTGAGGAAGATTTGTGACTTCACTGATTTAAAAAAACCCCAACTTCTCACATGCTCAGTGAGTATGTAGGTAATCACACAGCACATTTGGGATGAAGTGTCTCTAAGAATTGGCCCTTTGCCTTCATTTTGATCTTTACATGGGGAATAATTGGGAAGAGCTGTATCCCTTCACAGTATCCTTTGAACCTTGGCCAAAAATGATGTCACCTGGAACTTTTTTCCTGTCTTGAAAGATAATGCTTTCTAAGCACTCTGGTACAGCTACTCTTTTTATTGTCCTTAAAAATAAAAAGCAGATTATTATTATATTATTATCATGAAAAGGTAACCTTTTATAAACTTTATTTTATTTTTATTTTCTCTGTCTAAATGATTATCAAGAACCTTGGCTATTCTAAATGGAGAATCTGTGCTACTTTTACCTAGTCTTAACTTTTCAGTGGGCTAGAGACAAGATTTTATTATTTTTAAGATCTAAAAATCTTCAAAACAGGAAAATCGAAAGGTTTCAGGGGCATAATGTTAGGATGTAAAGAATTCTGAAGACATTTTTTAAAGAGATGGGTAGTGAAATATGTATGTCTGTTATAAGTGAGATTAATGTATCAAAATGCTTCAGCATTAGACACAACCTTGTGTGCAACTCCAGAAATAACTTTTCAATGAGATTTAAGTCCATTTAAAAAATTTGTTACCGTACTGGATTACATGAACCCAGAGTTAAGATATAACTGTACTTATGATTACAGTGTGAGTTTGATTCCAAAGTAATAGTAGTAGAATTGAATAAGTAATGTTCATTCAATATTGAAAACACTAGTTGAGAGAAAAAAAGCAATGTACATGTTATATACTGCATTTGCAAATACATCTGTGGAAATTCAAACTCAAATCTATCATGTATAAGAAATATTTCTGTTGGATGGAGAAATGTTTGGGAGGCTTTAAAAT